TCAAAGGCACTGATCCTTCTTCTGTCATCTTTAATCATTGTCCAGCTCTCTGATGCACAGCAGGTAATTACAAAGACCATGGCCGGAATCACAGACTAACACTATTGATCTTTATAGCACTCTGGCGAGGTCCCCAACAGCAGATTTCCCTTTCCCTGCAATTTGTCTTTTCATTTCCTCACTGCTGGTGCCAAAACTGTTAGCTGTGGAGCAATCAAGAAGTACAAATATAAATAATCCATTATTCTTCTCCTTTATCACACAAAAAAAAAGTCTGATTTTATGTCAGGTCTCTGGTTCTTTGCTGTTGTCTGTGATGGTGGCTGCTACTGTAGGCCTTGGTCTGGTTGGCTCAAGAATCTCTGGCCCTTCAGGACACACTGCATTTTCTTGCTTATTGTTTGTTAGTGGCTAAAGTCTCAAATTCTGCTTCTAAATCCTCTCAATTTAATGGGGAAACTAGCCAGTCCCTTTAGAGATTTGCAAGACTAGTCAGTCCCCTTGTAGATAGGCTAACACACCCTATCCTCATATTCCTGCCTATCCACATGGTAACGTTCATCAATGGCTAAGGAAGCCATTTTTAAAAAGAAATTTTTAAGTACAGCATGTCACTTATTTCTATATATTTCTTGAGGCAAATGTTTTACACATTAGAACCCAAAACTCAAATTGGGCCAAAGTAGAATAGGAGAGAGAAACTTAATGAAAAGAAAACTCTGAAGATCGTATTTCTTTTCCATTTTACTAGTCTCTCTAATCTAACAAAAGAGCAAAGAAATATACATAGAAATATACAAAATACATTGTGGAGCAGGTAAAGGTCAAACATGGTCATCCCCCACACAACCCTTGGTCTTTTTATAGTAGATGGCTGAAGTGGGTTATGTTGCAATGGCTCCACTCCCATGGAAGGCTGGAATTTTGTAAGAGTAAGAAGTTAGAGGCGTAGGAAGTACAGTTAAATTGCTAATTTTGCTGCTACTGAGTTGGAAAGAAATCCTAAGCTGCGTTTGGCCTAAGACACTGGTAGAGACTTGAGGCCACATGAATATGAATAAAATAAGTTAAGGGTGGAAAATGAAGTGGAAATTGGGGATTCTTTAAAGGATTTATGCATTAAAGTTTTTGTTAATTTGACTTTGTGAATACTACTGTTTAATTCTTACATATAGTAACGTTAATATATATCATAAAAACAAATAATGTTAAGATATATTGTAAAAATTATTAAGGTTCTTGTTTATTTTAAAAAAACTCTGGTTTTAATATTAAAAATATCCTTAATTTGGTTCATTTGTGTTAATAGTGAAAATAATTATTGTTTTTCAAATATGCACCACAAAAATAAAATTTTCAACTCAAATATTAATTTTATTTTCTATATTCCAAATATTTATTGCAGCCATGCACTCAAATTCTAGTTTTCTCTTTAAAATTAAGTCTTAACATTTTTTTTCAAACCTCAGTTTCTTATGGCTCTAATGATATCAATGATTAAAGAATATTACTGTGAATTGTTTTTTTAAATTCAGAGAAGAAATATACCAGAGGAATGTCTATCTGTGTTTTATTGAATATGCAAAGGCATTTGACTGTGTGGATCATAACAAACTGTGGCTGACTCTGAGAAGAATGGGAATCGTGCTAATGCGAAACTTATACTTGGACCAGGAGGCAGCCGTCAGAACAGAGCAAGGGAACACTGCATGGTTCAAAATTGGGAAGGGCGTATGCCAGGGATG